CATTGCAATAGTAACAATTAAGCCTACCCTTATAACTACTTCTATACTCATTTCCTATGCTAAACTTTTCTCCCTCTTGTTCTACTTACATTTAGTTTTTCCTAGCCCTTAGCACTGTCTAATACTAGTTTAAAACTTCCCTTACAGCTGAATTAATAACTATAGCAACAAGCCAGCCCCTATTTAAATGTAAACCATCCATTCCCAAAAGCTCCCTTCTTCCACTGAACTAATCCCACAAGTCCAACCAGTTCATCCTTACACACTAACCTAAGCCTAGTGACCTACTTATACCTTCATCCCCACAGATAATTCTGGGCAGTATCCCTGACAAAGTTAAATTATGGCCTTTTTCATTAAATGCCTTTATCAACCTCTTTTACTTATTAATTAGCTCTTCTGACCTACCTTTCCCTACATCATTAGCCCCTACATGCATGACAAAAACTGCATATCTGCCAGCCCATTTATTATATCAGCTGTTCTGTCAGTTATATCCTCCACCTGTGCCCTTGGGTAGGATAATCTGATTCATTTCTCCCTGTTTACCCCACAGACTATCCTATCCACATGCCTTGTCAAGGAACCGCCTATAACTATAATCTCCTTATCGTCCACATCCTTCTCTTACCCTTTTGTTTTCCTTCCCTCCTATAGTTCCTTGTCTGCAGAAACCAAGGGCTGAAATTTTTTTGCTCAATAGAATAGGCTCATTACAATTACATTCACTACTTTTAGCCCTAATAGTACTCTTTCTAAATTCCTGAAAGTCAAATGTGTGTGTATAACCTATTATACTGATATATACTATTGTTTGAAGTGTGAATTGACTTATGTTTTCATTGTTAAACTCTTTTATGTTCTTTCTTTGGCATTGTTAAATAATTATATGACCACTGATCAGTATGAATAAAAGTTTGTCTGTCTTTTTTGTCAATATTAACTTAAATAACTTTGTATGAATTAACATTACTTCAAACTTTAAGAAATTTTTATTTCAAATATTGCATATTTTAAAGTAGTTTTGGTTGGTCTGAAAAGCAGTTTCAAAAAGCATTTCATGATCATGCCCTTTCTCTCATGTTTTTTGTGGTTAGGTTTATAAATATTTTTTGGGTCTACTTTGAAGAAAACAACATAAAGAATGAGAATGAAGGTTTCACTGAGAGGCCTGCTTTTGAATACATATTTTGTGACAATATAAACTTTATATATCCATATCTTTCATTGCCACAAACAGGCTTTACTTCATAGTCTTAATAAGCTGTATTGGAGCATGTGTATATCATGATATTTCTATTATTTATATGCTTGGGTAATATATTAGTAATCTGAGACATTTCTATAGCAGTTATTATTGTTTTATGTAAGTTTTTATTAAGTTTTTTAAGTTCAGGGTAAACACTAGCATTAATCCTACACTATAAAAAACAACTGATACAGAAAACTGGACTTTAAATTAGTTACTAACACCTGAGAGCATGGTTAAAATTCTACTCTGCTGAACCTATGGGGCTAAAAAAAAGTTCTTCCATAGGTAACATTGAAAAATCAACAACACTTCAAATTCCCATGCACAAACATCAATTTAATAATCTATACTTATCTTTTTTTTTTTTTGTCAATGGTCCGCAAGTGCATGATTTGGATTTTCTGATAAATATTTTATTATGTATGATTTAGCCAAGCTACTTAGAAATGACTCTTAACATATCATCTATTACTTGTTAAACCTTAAAAGTGAACACTTATATCAAACACCTCATCATTTTAAGCTTATTCTTTAAATTAAGCCTTTGTTGGGATTGTTGTACACCAGACTATACAATACCAAGAAGCAAAATAAAAGGATCAGATATTACAGGTTATTTATGTCCTATATATTTCTTAGAAGCAAAGTTGTAGATGCAGTGATATTCCTAGATACTGGAATAACAAACATAAAGCATGTGTTACTAAAACTGAATACATACAAGTTAGATACTGGAATAACAAACATAAAGCATGTGTTACTAAAACTGAATACATACAAGTTATATCTATGTTTTGTCTCTAAACATCTTGAACCATGACTTTGTCATCCTCACATCAATTTATATACAAAAATTTATTTTCTATAATGGGAGATGTTATGATTGAGTACTTATGAAGACTATAGCTGAAAGAACTAGGTATTATGCAAAAAAAAAATACTAAAGCAATGAATGTTAGCATAAGAACTACAGACTCTCCACTTTGATTATTATAAAACTACAGTTATTATGTACAAGCCCAAAAATTATGTCATAGTGAAAAACAATACACAAACAAGTGACTTACTGAATCATTGTTTCAATATATTATTTTTCTTATACTAACACCTAAAAACAGAAAAGTACAAAAAAACAGCAAAAACGTTTTATCATGTATTTACAAACAAGATAAACATTTTAAGTGTTACTAATGTGGATGAAAGAATTAAATTTAGTGTTCTTGCTGAACAACCATTCTAATACATGCATTTCACTACAATCATTACAATAACAATTGGTTTATCACACAATATTTACTGCATTCCATTGTGAGCTTTATATCTCATTTACATTACATGTAAATTTTTTTAACGTTAGTACCGCACTGTGTTCAGAATTACATTGAACCCTCGTTTTTCGGACATAGATAATCTGGGTGATTTTTCACATGGTAAATCTTCGCAACTGGAAATTTAATTAATAATCCATATGTTCATGTTCAGAATCTAAACGGCTATTTCTTATAACAAACATGCAGTTTCTATGAATAAATGGTTTAGTAATTCATAGATGACACCATGAGAGTTTAGTAGGGGGTCGATCAGGACATGAAACAGGGTGATAATTACTGACCATAAGATATCTACAATTGCAGAGAGTACCAGTTTTCAATAAATTTTCTTAGAATGACCTTCCCAATAGGGTTGTGTAGACAAACCATAACAGGTGTTGAGAGGTCATCAGAGTGGTTTATGCTACAGTCATGTCAAGTTACAGTGCTCCAAAAAGAAGATGTGTAGAAATATCAGCATCATTCAAATGAGATACAGGTTTATACAGGATGCAATACCTGTACTATATATTCTATAAGTTACTGGTTTGAACAAACTGGTGACTTACATGTACATCATGACATAATATGCCACATTGAACATTTAATTTGTATAACTAATGACAATATATAAAAAATAAACAGATAACTTTATTGCACATACAATTGTTTTTTAACAATTGCATGTCAACCCTTACTAGTTTACACCCTAACATTTATCAACTGCTAACACATGCTATTAATAAGAATTCACTGTAATTAAAGTAACTGCTTTCAAATTAACGAGTTTTCACTACACAGTGATAAAAGTAAACTTTAAAATTAAATATACATGAATATATTATATTATGTTCAATTTACTTTATACAGTTCTCAAAAATACTAAAATTTATGAAGGAAACCATTACTCTTACTTCTAGACACAATGTATAAGAATGTGACTTATTTCTTTAAACAGGATCATAAGTTCTTAAGAGTATAACAATAACTGAAAAACACTATTCTATGTGTTTCATAACCAAACAATAGTTTTTGCTGTGTAGTATTTCCCATAGAAAAACTGTTGTTAGCTCAAGCTAAATGTCGTTCTCACTGTATTATGACAAACCTAAAACCATTTATTACCACAGTTGTTCAAAGTTGTCATGATGAGAATAAGCATCTGTCTTTTAACTAGCTGCGTATACTGTCGGTATGAAGAAAAAATTAATTAATTCAGTTATCAATGATTTTTAATTTTTTTAATGTGGTCTGATGCTATTTTATATATTTACAAGCACAAAAAAAGAATTTTTAGTTTTTCCATTTTCACTTTTAATTTAAGTTAGTACAATAAATTTAGAGGTTGAGTTTAAGTTTTCGAGGTGTCATAAACTGTTTAACAACTTCATCGGTTACAGTTTTTCTACGTTCCTGATGTTCTGCAATGATTCCTTGTAAGATAGTGATAAGTTCCTTCTTTAGATACCCCGTCAACAGTTCTCCTGAAGAATAGTCCTATAAAATTAAGATACAGGTAAGTAGATTAGTCACTATACTCTTAGACACTATACACAGTAGGTTAAACTTAGAAGGCAAATTTACAGTTCCTTTAATTGTAAAAATGGCACAAAACCTTTAGGTTGAAAATAATATAAATGCAGACAGCCTTTAACTAAATTGCTTGTTTAAATGTAAAGTTTATGCTAAAGACCACTGTTATTCACATAACATGATGAATATTGGTTGACATCCATTTTGTACAAAAAAGTGAGACAGAAAAAAAGACGCTACTTCTAGAATGAATCAAAGTCCAGTATTTTTCCTTTCATTTATAAGTTTTGATATAATTTTCTAACTAATGGGATTCCAATGGTCAAAAGACATTCTTAGAAAAGATTAAGTCTGCAATGGTGCATGAAGGAAACCACTAGCACTGATATATTCTATGCACAAATTACACTATATTATTTCTTTCATTAACAGTATTGGTTAGAATTATTAGTATATCTATTTGAATTATAAAGATTATTCTGCAATATTATCTCGGTACACATTAGCCTTATTCTCCGAAAATAGTTGTGAGATATTATTGGGATTATGGTCAAAAATACTGCTAACAGTGAGGGTACCCAAATGATAAAACAATGTATTCTAATCTTTATAAGTAAGAACATAAGAATGGTATATTAAGTTAGCTATGCTCATTATTGGGTTGAGTTTTAGTTCTGATCTGTGTGGGTAGCTTGCTTTGATCAGTTAATAATCTTAAAAAACCAGCTGTATAGCTGGAAAGCATAACTAGATTATTGCTTACTGACTTTAGTAACATGAGGTCCCTTATTCTTGTTACAGTTTTAGCCTACATATGTGTTTCACAATGAACCAGCTTCAGAGGATTTGAGTCACAAAAAGTTTCTTTCCAGTGAAAGTGGAATGGGTAGGAATGGATTGGGTGTACAGCTGAGGAAATAAGTAGGACTGACTTCAGGTTTAATGTTGTCCTTAAATTTGATGTATATTATGCTATTTATATGAATATGACAAAAAGACCAACAGTTATAGCTAACACTTTAAGGTAAGTTAGGAGATAGAAGACAGGAGATATAGATAGGAGACATGTTTTTGTGTTTACCTTCACCTTATTCACTGCTTAACCAACTAACTACTGACTAGAACAAGTACTTAAATTTACTATAGGCATAGATGCATTAACTGAATCACTACATTCAGACCTTCACTACAACAAATTATTCACAATATGCTATTTTCACATTCAGACAAACTTTGTGAAATTCACTCCATTACAGTGAACTTTAAGTATAGCTTTTAAAATTTGATCACTTTCACTATGTGCTTTATGCGTACTTGATGTTAAATTCAGACTTACCGTAGGCTTCATTGACCTTGAAGTGTAACAACGAAAGCTCTAAAAGTGACCTGTATCACCAGTTTTTCAATCTTAGTATTACTCAAATGTTTTCTGGAACTTAAAATTGCTTTAAGATTTTCTAACATATGAAATGTTACATGAAGGTATGTACTTAACATTGGTCAACGGTATAACTGAGTGAAAAAAACAGAATTCAGCACAGATTATCTAATAAATGTATATACAGTATAACATATCAAAAGCGGAACACAAAGGACACAGTCAAAACGAAAAGGTCATGTATAAAAAAAACACAATAAAACCAAAGTTTAAATGTATTATATGTATATAAATACTGTAAATTATTTGTATGTACACACCTTTATAATTTCATTTCTAAAGTTATAACATGTTGCGCTACTTTCCAAATTTGTAACAAATTTTAACATTGTTCCCACCTTTAATTAAACATGGACCTCTAAAACACTTTTTTGCTAATCTATTACCTTAACCTTAAAGTTCTTAAATGAGGACTTCAAGTCACCATATGGCCAAAGTTTCCAATTTTTGCTTAAAGCACTAATTGCAAAACGATTGTTATTGTTATGACTTTAAAAAAAAATTAAGGATAATTTCATACTATGGTCTTAAGTATGAAAATTAAGAATGGTAAGTCACATAAAATGGTTTTACACCAGGCTAGAACTATTTATGTGTGGTGTAATGCTGTTTCATGTCATACCATTCTGCTTTTTCTATGTTATGAAAAATAAACTTTGGTGTAGATCAAGAATGTCAAAATTCAATACTTAAAAATTGTATTTACTTTTCTAATTTCATCCAGCCTGTCACTGTCCTCCATAAAGAACCGCAAGTACTGGTAAGATATATCCACATCACAGTTGCCTCCTTTTTCTTTGTGCTCTTCAACTGTAGCCCCTCCACCAGAAAAGGCATACTTGTTAATCTAGAAGATTTTAAACAATAAAAAATACTACAGTAAATACAATTTTACAAATAATACAATTGAGGTGCTTTAAACTACATATCTCAAAAGTAGACAAGAGTTTACTTTATACCCAATATTTTTTCTCGTGCACTTAATCATTGCATTTAAACATTTTCAGACCAAAATGTCATTTTTTTGTCAGATATCTCTTGAAACATCAAAAAAGAAAAGTGTGATAGAAGGAAAATATAGTCCAAAAAACAAAAAAGATAATAACTAAAAACTCGTTTAATGATACCTACATACAGTATTCTTATATAATCAGTGCTTGAAGGATGTCATCCCACTTCTTGAAAGTCTCAAAAACATCCCAGTATCTTTTAGTAAACTGAATGCTTCTCACAAGAGAAAGGTTCAATAAATGGTGCAGTAAATAGTTACAGCAGGAAAGAATCTTCTTTTTTTCTTCTTAAAATGTTGTGTAAAAGCGAGTAAGGAATGAGACAAATCACTACACGGCTGGAGTGAATGAATCCTCTCGCCTAGGGCTCAGTTGATGTAACCACAGAGTAACCATCTGAGTTTCCATACTATAACTCGTAACAGTATACATCTGTTTATACTTAATTTTATTGTGTTATTGCCCTTTGAATTGTGTCAAACAAATAATCCTGTCTCACAAGTTGTAAATCACTTGGCAAACATGAGCTCATGTTCTCATATCCAATTACATAACGCACAAGCTGCTTGCAAGTATACTGCATGAAGAATTATTTTATTTTTTGTTATCTTACCCAATAAGTTTCTAATTTTTAAATTTTAGTTACTTTTATGGTATTGTTTGTTTTTGAATTTCGCGAAAAGCTACACAAGGGCTATCTGCGCTAGCTGTCCCTAATTTAGCAGTGTAAGACTAGAGAGAAGGCAGCTAGTCATCACCACCCACCACCAACTCTTGGGCTACTCTTTTACCAACGAATAGTGGGATTGACTGTCACATTATAACGCCCCCATGGCTGAAAGGGCGAGCATGTTTGGTGTGAGGGGGATTCGAACCCGCGACCCTCAGATTGTGAGTTGATTGCCGTAACCACCTGGCCATGCCGGGCCACTTTTACAGTAATAAATAAAGAATACACATGAAAACCAAGAAATATAGTACTCAGCTTCAAAAATTTCACAAACCATCTCATTTTCATTTCCCCCCACTTCAAGCACTGTATATAGCACCATAACAATATCTGTGGTTTCCACCAAATCATGTGTAATATGATATCAACATATATAATAGAAACAAAGTAACTTGTTGTTACATTTTAAAAACACCTACGCCTAACATGTGTAATTATAAGTAATTTTTTTGTAGTAAATTGTATGACAGTTTTTTTCTGTTAGCAAATAATTAATAAAGTGAACATTGGACAACACTAGCTACTTTTTATAGATCCATTCAAAAAATCCATTCAACGATTGGTGGGATTGACCATCACATTATAATGCCCCCATGGCTGAAAGGGCAAGTATGTTTGGTGGGATGGGGGATTTGAACCCGCGACCCACAGATTGTGAGTCAAGCACCCTAACCACCTGGCTATGCCGGGGCCTTGTCATTAGTAAAGATACACAGATTCTGATGTTTCTGTGACTCAACATAAATATATTTTCCAATAAAACTGTTTAGTTTCACAGAAGGAAACAAACATCAAGTGTTAATTATATATTGATTAAAATAAAATAAAAAACTGGTTCCATCAATTTTCATAAATTTAGACCATAACTTGCTTTTTACTAGTGTTAATATGTCATAAAAACTTAGAACATTTTGAGCAACATCCTGGTTAAAAGGTGTTGAAATTTAGTTTTAAAATAGATGTTATGTACAGTTGGATATTATCTGATTTCTCAATATTTCTTTTTTTACTTTAACTGAATTGTTTTGTTCTCCTATCATAGTGTTTCTACAAAATTACACATATGTACTTAGGAGAAAAATAAAAATGTAAATATATATGAATTGATACTGAAAACATGTATTATTATTATAGTACATCATTAATTAATACATTCTTACTTGTATAAATAAAGGCCAATTTCTTACTGTACAAAATTACGTTATTCTACCAACATCTATCACGTTCAGAAAATAAATGTCTCCAAAAACATAACTGTAGTTCTAACTTTTATTAATTTTTACAAAAAATCTCATCATAGCTACTCATACTTTACAGAATATTATAATCTACAAAATTTACACTCTACAGCATTTTTATATGCCAGCACTTTATGACCTTTATTACAAAGTTCACTAACCATTATGTGTTCTTTTAACTCTCTCAATATGGGCTCGGTCAAGTTGACCAATCACTTGACCTCTTTGTACTCATTCCAAGTCTTTATAAATTTGATACAACTAAATTTTAACATAGTATGTATATCTAAACAAAATTTGGCAGTCTTTTAATTAACATTTCAAGTTTTTCACACACAAAAAAATCTTATTTTTTAGTGAAGTATTTTTAATAAACTAAAATAAGATTTGTCCTTGAATATATCAAGTATTTGTTTTGAATAGTCCATGTGTAAAGTGATTTTCATGTTAAGATTAAAATAATTTTCTTCATCTCAAAAAATCTCAAATTTCATTTGTGTAATCTCTAAAACCTCCTAAATAAATTTCAAGCGTTTGTTTTCAGTAAAACTTTATATTCTATCTGTTATTTTCTCTTCCCTAACTCTGACCTTGTAACCACCAAAAAAAAAATCTAGATAAATCTACATCACCCTTTTTCTTTCTAGAATGACTTCAAATGTAACATGAAACTATATTTGTTTATCCTAAGTAGCTTTAACTTCGTAACAGTATATATCAATTTATAATTAAATTTTATTGTTTTACTGCCCTTCGAACCGTGTCTAACTACCATTCCTGCCATTATAAGTTATAGACCACTTGGGAAACATGGAGCTCAGGTTATGCTATAAAAACACCTTACCCACAAGCTACTCCGAGCTGCTTGCGTGCATGCCTCATGAAATATTTTTATTATATTATTATTATTTATTTTACCTAATCTAACCTTAACTAACCCAAAGAAATCCTTATTTTTACATTCTAGTTATTTTTATAATAATAATAAATAAAGAATAAACATGAGAAACAAGAAATAAAGTACTTACCCGAGTATTTTTTTTGTTGTTGTCAACTATCGATGACATGACACTTAACCCTACTTTCTTTATACTAATGGTAGTAATGCATTAACTGATTTTTATTTAATTAAATAATGCACCTAAGAACATAAAATAACAACATGCATAAAGCAGGCAATTTCATCTAACAATCACAATTTTTCTGGCTTTCTAACTATGCAACAAGAGCCATTACAGGTTCATCCAAGCTAGTCATTACCTTACCCATGGGAACGAAGCATGTACTACTAGTGAAATTGATGATTATATGTTCAGGACACAACGTACTATAATATTAGGTCATCAAGAAATTAATGTCGCATTTTGGAACACTTTCATTAACCACCCCTCAAAAAATGTACATCACGTATAATAGTTAAACAAACTGTATAAAAGTCAGGTTAGTGTAGACTATATAATGTGTAAAGTTTAGTATACTCTAACCTCTTATAGTGATGGCACATGACAGGACACACATTTGGCATTTAATGCTGTTTGAATACAAGAAAGGAAGCAATGCCTCTGTAGCCACAAAGAATATCAAAGAAGTTTATGGAAGTGTTTTGAACATTTGTAAGTGTCAACGATGGTTCAGCAAATTTCGTTCAGGTGACTTTGGCTTTAAAGACTTTGATGGCAGGAGGCAACATGTTGGAATTGATATTGGTGCTCTGAAGGATTTTAATGAGCGTAAACCATTTTTGGACAGAATTGTCGCTGGTGTTGAAAATGGATTCTCTATGTAAATATTAAATGCCAAAAACAATGGCTCAGTCCTACACAAAAACCACGTCTGAACCCAAAACCTGGACTCCATCTGCAGAAAGTGATGCTTTGCATTTGGTGGGACATCAAAAGAGTAATTCATTTCGAACTCCTCTATCCACAGCGAACTGTCAATGCAGAGATTTATGGTCAGTAACTTGAATGTTTAAATCAAGCCTTTCATCAGAAACACCCTTCACTCGTCAATCAAAAACATATTCTTCCTCTCCATGACAATGCACATCCACATGTGGCACGTTTGACGCAACGCAAGATTATGGAGTTGGATTGGGAAGTTCTCCCCCACCCACCATATTTTTCAGATATGGCACCATCAGATTACCATCTTTTTTGCTTCAAAGCCAAGTGATTTCTTTAATCAGGGAATTAACACCTGATTATAAGATGGAAAAGCATCATCGATAACAATAGAACTATTTCATTTCATAAATGTTTTGTTTTGATACATAACTTGTTTGGGTTTTTTTTTATCTAAAAAAAAAAGCTACATTCATTTCTTGATAACCTAATATATCACTTGATAGATGAAAACCTTGGCTTTCTATTGGTTATAGATAATAAATAAATAAATTAAGAGAGAACTATCAACCATTTGTGAAAGAGACGATGTGACAGGAGGGGTCTGATTTTCTATTTGATAGCTCTGTAACCAAACAAAATTGAAGG